CTTCACACCCGTTTTCGAAAATTGTTCTGAACCGGGAGGGAGTCGAAGATATTCCCTTCTTTTATTCCTTCTTTTTTTGGCGGCTTTTTGCAGGTTTTCCGTGACAACTTCTACTTTATATCTGCTTATTAAGAGTAAGTACACTCCTCTTTCTTCTCTGCCTTCCCAAGGTAGTAAGGTATATGCTTTTTAGAGAGGGGCTTAACTTACCGGTTTTTAACGGATTTTCCGTGACACAGCTGCAGAACCAAATTACGAACTACGGCTGTCGCAAACAAATAAAGCTAATTAATGCTTATTCAGCAAGCACACTTCAATGGATACAGATGAAAAATATTTAAAAAAAATACGACTGGTCAGTGAAAACATTCGTCAGCTGTACAAACACGAATTTCTGCAGCAAAAAAGTTGCATTATGCTTCGAAAAAATCTGTTTAAACTGAGACAACCTGCACAATTCGTGGAGTTGCAGTGTTGAGTTTTGAAAATCGAGATGATGTAACAGAAGAGGCACCAACTGAAGATAACGACTCGTTACTGCCTGCACGTTGCCGCAATGCCGATGTCTTCGTATGTCGAATCTTAATGGGGTAAATGAATTCATCATAAGCTGAGCAACGGTCAGGAATTTGAAAAGTAGCATGCGCTCCGGGCCACGCTCAGAAAATTTCAGCACTCCAGCTGCTTTGGTTATGGAGTTACGTTAAAGTTCACGTGCTCGTGCGTGAGGGGAAAAGTGGGTGTTTTTTTTTTCACATGGGCTTGCCTGAATACGGTCCTAGATCACGCTCAGAAAATTTCAGCATTCCAGCTGTGAAGGCGTTCCAGTAAAATTACTGACATGGGATACTCAGAAGTGACTTTGGCATCTTTACACGGCCTCCAGGTTTTGTCAGAAATAATCTTTTGCTGGATTTTTATGTGTTAAGCTCATAGAAGAATCTAAAGGCACGAATCCTGACCTATTTTAGTCCATACGTGAGGTATAGCCACTGTTTAAAATAAATGGCAACGCGCACCAGACTAGCCGGTGCGATCATGCGTTTTGTGCAATTCAGCCCATCGACATAATAAATAGCAACGCACACCAGACTAGCCGGTGCGATCATGCGTTTTGTGCAATTCAGCCCATCGAACGATTGCTAACGCGCACCAGACTAGCCGGTGTGATCATGCGTTTTGTGCAATTCAGCCCATCGAACGATTGCCTTTTTTCACTTCCTTGTATTTTAGTCTATGCAAAATAGTTCAAACATTGAAAAACAGTTAAAAATTTCTGCACCAGCGTATGAAAGCTAAATTCGAAACCTTGAAGGATGAATATCTTTCCGTGATTCCCGCGTTAATAGTTAGCGCATGAAAGCTGAATTCGAAGCCTTGAAGGATGAATATTTTTCCTTGATCCCAGAGTTAATTTTTTTCACTGCTTTGTACTTTAGTCTATGCAAAAGTAGTTCAAACATTGAAAAACAGTTAAAAATTTCACGCACAGCGTATGAAAGCTGAATTCGAAACCTTGAAGGATGAATATCTTTCCGTGATTCCCAAGTTAATAGTTTGGCGCATGAAAGCTGAATTCGAAACCTTGAAGGATGAATATCTTTCCGTGATTCCCGAGTTAATAGAGTATAAAGTTGATTCGAAACCTCGAAGGATAAATATCTTTCCGTGATTCCCGAGTTAACAGTTAATCCGTCAAAATTTTCACGAGGCCGTAGGTGGTAACCGAGAGCGCGAGAACGCTGAATTTG